GAGCAATCATACGTTGTTTCTCCTTCGGAATCCTCCGCGCCCCAATAAATCTGCATTCCGCTTCCGGCGTGACACGGATGTCGGTCACTGCGTCAGTGAGCTTTTGAAAAGGAATCAGGTCATCTACTGCCCAGATCGAAGGGTTAGCCGTCGTTTAATAAAAAAGTTTCTCAATTTCAACGATTGGGGTCTTGCTTTGCATTTAGCAAAGGGTTGCAAGGGGGTCAAATTTTTGCATAGGGGGGGGGGGTATAAGTTCATTGAAATTTTTCAAAATTTGCCACAATCAGTTTATTATTGTGTATGGATTAAATTTGTTCTCTGGCTCTCCCGTAAAAGCACATATCTGCATAGGGAAATTAATAGCATGTATGTTGTTTCTAAAATGGGCCAGAGATAGTGGATTCGTATTGCAAAAATAATCCATATGGTGGAAGAATGACTCAATGGAAGGGAAGGGTAAGAGCCGAATTTGGTCCCACCCTAGACTTCTGCAACCCCAATGTTCGCGGCAAAAATTGTTTTATAAGAATTTGATGCAAATAATTTGCAAAACGGCGATTTTCCTCAACACGGTAGAGTAGTAATGCCGCGCTAAGGAAGAACGCCCTACAAACATTCGAGAGCTGTCTAATTTCCGTCGATAAATTGTTTATGTTTGAGGAAAGATGTGCATATTTTTCTTTAAATTTTCAGACACTCTAGATCAAATTACATCATTTAAATCAAATTAGATACCAGATCATGAAAAATATCCCTGAAAATTGGTGGTTTGCCGGAAGAAATTTGGCAACGCCTGAATGCTCATACCGCGATTTTCCTTAACACGGCAGAGTAGTACTGCCGTGCTAAGGAAAAACGCAGCATTAGTCTTCAGGCGTTGCCAAATCTCCCATTGTAAATCACTAATTTTCAGGAAAATCTTTGAGTATTTGTCCACCAATTTCTCAGATAATTTTGTTTGCAATTTAATCGAAAACTTCTGAAAATTTCAACACTGAAAAAAAAATCTCGGTGTATTTACTAAGAAAAGGGTAAAATTACCAAGAATTCAGGGCTCTATTTGATCCCAGTTTTTTCTTGGTAAAATTACCATTTATGGAATTGGTAATTTTACCGAGAAATCTAGGTAAAATTATTGAACTTTCTCGGTAATTTTACCGGACCGTGGTAAAAACGTCAATATTTTTTATCGACTGTGGTAAAATTACCGAGATGAAATGGACGTATTTCTATCAAACAGACCTATGTGGAGGTGAGAAATATGGGGTGTGCTCTAGAAATCTGCATAAGAAGCAATGTAAAAGCGGGCGTGATTCCCTTTGAAGAATTGGAAAAGCGGGATATTACATTCTATCAAACAGACCTATGTGCCAACTGAATGCGGAATTCATGAGCCGCGGGCATGGGACGAGAGCGTTGTGGACAGGGCTCATGAGTTAGAGCGTCCCGACGACGTTCTTCCCCGCGCGCTCGAGCTCCATCATTGCCGCTGACGTCACGGGCGCTTTATTATTCTCATTCACTCTTACGGCCAAAGAACTAACGAGCACAACCCATATTTCTCACTTGCACATAGGTCTGTTTGGTAGAAATACGTCCAAATGGCAAAGTCACCGGGCATTGATTACCAATAAAAGTGGTATTCTTACCTGGAAAAAACAGTAAAAATGCCGGTTTTTAGGTAAGCTTACCAGTCTGTCTTGGTATAATTACCAAGAATTGGCAAAAAAAAAAGTGAGATGGTAAAGGTACCAACGGACCTTCGTAAAAATACCGAGAATTTTTTTCAGATAACGAAAAATATTCATAATTATTATTCTCTTAAAAAATAAACATTTCATCGGAGTAAATTTGGCAACTCTCGAATGTTCATACGGCGTTATTCCTTAGCACGGCAAAACAGCACTTCCAAGCTTGCCCCGTAGACAAAAACTCAGGACCCGGATGAGGATGAGACAGTAGCCGGACGAGGGATTATTCAAACCCGCTCGGAGGGTGAGCGCCGAGGGTGGCGCGGCGGCACCGCGACGCTATGCGTAGCTGCGTAGGGACACGTGGACGCCCCCGTGGAAAGTCGCGGAAAAGCTCGAGACCCACTGTCCCAGTCACCCCGCTGGCGCCAAGCAACAGAGAGCGTGGCGCCAGACGACTCCCCCCCCCTTCCACCACCCTGCGCTTCCCGGTTCCCGCTCTCCCGTCGAAATGCGTTTTCCGTTGCGTCGCCGTTGCCATCGACGCGGTCTTTATGACGCTTGCCTCATATTTCACCGGTTCATCGACGCAAGGGCGTACTCTACATGAGCCCCGAAAAGCGTGGAGTTATACGGAGAATAGGGCTCACAAGGATATTGAGATATGTCCTTGCGGCGTTAGGAGTGACGATTTCTAGAATTCGGGTGAGTATGATGGAATTCGTCGTCCCAATGACGTAAGGATGTATCTCAATTTCCGCATCAGCCCTGTTCTGCCGTGCTATGAAAGAACGCCGTATGAGCCGTCAGACGTTGCCAAATTTCCCTCGAAAAATACTGAATTTGCAGGGTAAATTATAAATATTTTGTTCTAAAATTTTCCAACAATTTTGCACGCAATTCGATCTAAAATATCTGAAAATTTCACGGAAAAATGTGCATGAGTGTCCTCAAAAATACATGTTTCATTAAGGGAAATTTGGCAACTCTCGAATGTTTATGCGGCGTTCTTATTTAGCATGGCAGTGTTCTCCATATAACTTTAGGCTTTTCAGGGCTGACGTGGAGATTTAGATACGCTCTTACGTCAGAGTGACGTCGAATTGAGCGGGATGTTATGAAACTGAGGCGGGTAGCAAGCAGTGGATGCAGCTACTTACTGAATAAGTTTTTTAGGGAATTGGGCAGCTAAGATAAAGTTTAATTTTTTAGATTTTTTCTTCTTCAAAATTGCTATGAAGGTAATGAGCTTGTATAGTAGTTTTTAAGTCTTGCATTGCGGAACAGTAGAGAGTGCACTGAAAGAATGTAGAAATTGACCAAATACTTGAGCATGATGGTATTTTAAGATTCATTAAAGCGCAAAGAATACAATGGTTTGGCCATGTTGGGAGAATGAAAAACAGGGGAATGCCAAAAGAAGTATTGAAGGTAAAACCATCGCTAAGCGAAATAGAGGAAGGCTTCGGCTCATATTCATGGAAGAAGTTGAGAAAGAATTATGAGTGAAGAGAGTCAGAAGATAGAGGACTGAGGTACAGGATTTACGGTGAAGAGGCGAGGCATTGTTATGGAGGCCAGGGCCGGATTAAGGGGGTGGCCACATGGGCCGCGGCCCATGGCGGCAAATCTAGAGGGCGGCAAATTTTGCAATTTTTTCAAATGTAGGTATAAAAAAATATCGGATTTAGAAAAAAAAAAATTACAAACGAGAAAAGGCGACAAACTCTCTCATTTCCTGAGAGTGTAGTAATTTTTAATTTTGTCGTCTTTCAGTGATACAAGAGACAGCACCTTTAATTAGTCGAGTTAAGAGAGAAACCAAACACGCAATTTGGCCTGGAATGGCGCGACGCAGAGAGCAATGATGACGAGGACTCGAGCTGAAAAGGAGAAGCCATCGGCGCAGCGATCGGCATGTAACACATATCAGCGCCTACAAGACTGCACGAATACTTCACGCATTGCATCAAACACCACTGTGTTCACCACCGGTCATTGCGGTTAGCGTGAAACGCATGGCGCCTACAAGACTGCGTGAATACTTCACGCATTGCGCCAAACACGGTGCGGTCTGCGCGGCGCGGCGGCGGAAGTTAAAATCATTAAACCACATTCATGTATGTTCTTTCATAATTTTTTCGTTCATTACTTATGAATGGAAGGCTTTGTCCACACAGAGATAGGTTTACAAAACTTAACTTTTGCTAGTAGTGTTGACAGGGCATCCCCAAAAAATGTGTTAAACACGAGTAAACGCGTCTTATTCACCCCTCCCCCCCGGCACGTTCACTTGATGGTTTTTATTGATGTTTCAAAACGAATGAGAAGGAGCGGCAAAATCAAAGAAAATTCCTGTGCACTCTCTACTTTTCGAAAATTCAATAACTAATTAATAAAAGCAATGCTTTTATGATGTGTTTTTGCTTGAAACATTTAATCATTATCTATCGGTTAAAACCAAATCAACTCATTTAGTAGATGACAATTTTTTTCGAAGAAAATTGGGACCCCTTACGGTTCTTCATGGGTGTTGTTTCTTACCGAGATTGCGATGTACAAGCCTCGTCTTCACTTCCGTATGAGGCCGCAAGATTCTCGTCTCCTTTTTCAAAATAATTTCCTGTGAATCTGATGCTTTCCTTCATTCTTGACTTTAGTAGAGGGTTGCTCTTTTAGGCCCTAAAAGCTCCATATTCCGACATGTCCGTACTTTACCCATCCGTGTACTCTCGCAGAATGTAGTCCAATTTACCCTCGTCGAATTCCGTAGCCATACTTTAGCCTAGAGTACCTGTACAGCGAGAGTATAGACAGATGTGAAACTCCGAAAATCCATCAGGCCTTCACCGATGCCTCCGCGAATAAAGTTAGGGCCCAGAAATGCAGCCAAAATTATGAATTTCAATTATCCGGAGCGATTTATTAATACAATTGTTACGAACCATCGTTTATAAAGCATGTATTTGACTTAGTTTTTGAATAAATATACTCATTTTTGCGGAAGAACGCTCATTTATGTACTTTCTTAGCCATCTTCGTTAGAATTGGAATCTACAGACTGGCAGTGAAATTTTGTGCATTGGAAGTTGGTTAGAAGGGTGGCTGCACTTTTGGGCCGTAAGCCCTCCATGAAGCGATCTGTCCGTACTCTCGCTATACAGGTACTCTACTTTAGCCCTGTGATGGAGATTGAATCGGCAACATGCTGTGTTGCTCTGCAAGTGGAACAGCTGACGAGCGCGACGACAGCCGACGGTGGCGTCGCAGGGAGATCCCTCGAACCCTCAGTTGGTCAGTCAGCCGTCCTCCGTGTCTAGCGTCAACCCTCGCGCGCTCAGTTCGCTCCGTGCTTCACCGCGCCGAGTTCGCATCAACGCCGGTCTAGACTTTACGCTAATCCTTACCCGCTTTGTGCTCGGATCCCTTGGAAACCTTGGAAATTTTGCAGTACGTTTCAGTGTTCAAGTGTGCCGTATAATAAGATGTATAAGAATAAAAAATATAGTATACAAATATAAATTAACCCATATATGCCCGAAACTATTTTTTTAATTGATTTCTTATTTACTTATTATTTTTGACATTATGTAAACAGGGTAAACACGTGTTACCCAAAATATACTCACAACAAAAATAAAATAGGCATGCCTATATCCCAGACACGGCTTTTTCTGTGTTGAACACATGAAATTCCCTAATTTACACGGACACCTAAAGTTAAAAACTGCGATGGGTCGTTAACGACCCAATGGGCATATATGGGTTTTAAGAAGTAAATATAATATAAATGTTTAGTTAGTTAATATATTACGACGATCAGCAACCAGGCTACTTACGTCAGAGACCAGGAATTTACCTTAAATTTTTACATTTACTTGCTTAAAGAGTACGTGTGGACAAGGCGTAGCTGAACGCTCCGTTCATATTAAAGATATTACAGAACTTCTTTCATCAGTTCACTTTACCTCATAAAGTTCGGTTACGCAAGAAGAACGTTTTTTTTTTTTTTTTTTACAAAAAATCAAAATTGGGTTCGACACCCAATCTAGTTGGGATGATTCGGAACACCGAACGTCCAGTTCATAGGACCTAACTTTTTATGTCCATGGAGTCTTACGAGACGTTTAAAAATTTATGTTGGCTCATCGTGAGGTCTTAATTCGAAATAATCCCAAATGCTACAATTTATTTTTTAAAACACTTTTTGAGCAAAAATAAAATTCAGTGACTACGAGGGTAAAATAAAAAGTAATTTATTAGAAACAGAGAGGAAAGAAAAATCACTAGCTTTAAGGAATGTCGCAATTTTCATAAGAAATTATCTGGTTGTAAAAATCAGCAGAAATCTTGGTTCAGGATAAAGATGCATGTCTCTTGAAATCTTGAGTAAAATTCGACCCGTATGTTAGTTGATACGTTTTGAAAAAGTCTAAATTTGTCAGTCTATATAGCCTATATATTTACTGATTCTGACAGAGGTTGCTTATCAAACTATCCTTAATAGAACGTATTAATTATGATCTCAGCTAGGATTATTTTTCTGTCATACGAGATGATTTCAAAATATTTAAGGAAACATTCAAATTCTTCGATAGAAATTTGCAACCAAGAAAACTGCACGAGAAAGAATTTGGGGTAGATTTTAAAAGAAGTTTGAATGAAACATTCCCTGAGCTGTTTTGCTGGTCTCTTAAGGAAAGAATTGACACCAGAGAGTGCAAAAAAATGACACAGCTCTGCTTGTGCACTACAGCTTGTGCCGGGTCTGCTTTCAGTCTCGCAAAATTCAAAAAAATGGGTTCGTCACTCTAATACTTGCAGGAATTATTAAAAATCAAGAAAGCCATCAACTTACTTTGTTACCCTCACTGAACGTACTGCAAATATTTTCCCTGTCGCCTCTTGTGTAATCGTGACATAATTTAAATTCTTTTCAGCTCATCAAGCAAAACAGGTGTTGAACTTTTCATGTTCAGAAAATTTCTCAAACATTTTTTAGTTTGTTTATTACTTGTGCCATATAGTTTACTGATTCCTTTCATCATTGCTTATTTCTTGAACCCTTGGTAAATTGAATCCACCCACACGTGACCTGGTCATCTGTGATTTTCACTCCCTTCAATAATTGTGTGTTAAAAATCTTCAGTGTTCACAGTAAAAAAGTTAGCGCGAGTTAGGACTTTAAAAAATTACACCCCTGCATGATTACAAGAGTGAACTATTCGGCAACACCGTTAGTTTCAAGTTTGAACATATGACGACCGGAATAGCATCGAAAAAAATGACGTGATTGTTTACTTTCTGGAAGATTGCAATTTGTGAGGAAGTTATTCATTTGAGAGTACCAGAAGACAGCTAGCAAAATGGTAAGTTTTCATTATTTTTTTCACGGGGAGGTTTTTTCAGCGAGAAATACGAGTGCCATCGAAGATCTTTTTAACCGTTTACACAAGATGTTCTGGTTCTCTTGCATCCTCCTTTTATCTGTGTGTGGTATAGTTTGAATAGATGCAGATGTTGGGGCTAAATTTATGGACTTGCGATTGCTTTGATGGGATAGAGACAGCATGTTGATGGACAAAATGGATTTCGATGACAAAACATGGAAACTTTTCTGGATTAGACCTTCTCTAGTGGTCCATTTAATTTTTTAAAAATGGAAAAAAAAGTGGTCCTTCCTTTCTTGTTGCAAAATGTCCCAAAGGAATTAAGTTCACTCAGATCTGATTATTCTAGCTTATGTTGCAAGATTTAATCATCAAATCATATGATTAAGACGATATCTTCCAATTAATAAGATACTGAATATCTTAATTGGACTGTATTTTGCAATTTGGAATTATAAATTCTAGCCCAGTTTAAAAACAACGTATGTGCCATTAGTTTCCCTATGCACATGAGTGTTTTTCTAGAAGAGCCAGAATTTATAGTTCCAAATTGCAAAATGTAGTCCAACTAATCCATTGACTGGCAAAAATTAGGTTATTAGTAGTCTAATACACTACATTTCCACATATCCCATTATAATTTCATGCAAATTCCAAATTTATAAAGGAAGCCGATAAGAGTAAGTGGACCTAGTTCCACATTGTTTTTCAATCTCGTAGAAAAAATGAGCCCATTCGAATACATCACTTGCTTCCCGCTTAAGACAGAGTGATATATCCTTTTCTTCATGCCAAAGAAATTGAATTTAAGACCCGCATTCCTGCTGCGAAGCTATGGAGGTCTGCGTGTAAAACTAGTAAACATCCCCTCAACAGAGGGTAATGGTTATCTGATACGGGACTTGCAAAAACGTGCACAATGTCACCTTGAAAGTGTGTCATCCGATAGCGGCTTGAAGCCCTGTGTATGGACCCAGCTCTTCTTATGCGAATTATTTTCTTTCTCCTTTCTCTTACCCCTATAATTACAGCGGTGCAGAGTTAGGAAATACGCGTGTCTTGAAGCAGTGCTGCAAAATTTTGACTCCTTCTTGGAGAAATTTAAGTTAAAAGGGAGCATGTGGAAATGAATTGATTAAAAGGAACTATGTCGCACGCAAAACCTATATACATTTTTTTCTTTTTTATTTCACTTATTTTCACGTGCGGTTTCTTTCAGCATAAATACGTCCTTTTTATAAATCCTAAGACAAAATGTATATATTTGGAACGCGTTCAGCAAAAAGGAACCAACCCACATCAGCAATTGGTAAATTTAACTGATCAATTTAATTTTTTACAAAAGGACGTTTCTGCTTGTTCCTTCAAATTTTTTTCAGGAATTTGATCCATACTATGGAGAAAATTCACTAATTTGCACAGCTGATTTCATGTAAAAATTAAATTGGCCGATTAAATTTGGCAGCAGTTGATGTGACTTGGTTCCTTTCTGCTTAACGCGGTCCATTTGCATAATAATCGGAGGAATCTTTCAGGGAGGGCCAAGGAATTTACACAACATTTTAAGATGAAGAGGTCAGCTTCAATGAAAATAGGAATTGGCATTGTTAAAAATGCATGGTGCATGTATTTGGATAATTGAACGTAGACTTTTATGCATGGAGAGTGTTAAAAGTTGTTTTTGCCTCGCGCCGAAAATTTAAGAGACGGCCGTGGTTTTCATAGTTGTTTTAATGAGTTTGTAAAACGTGTTTACTTTTAAAATTGATGCAATACAAACACAGAAACATGTGACGTTAAGATAATTTTTTTTCTGCTAGTTCATTATCTGTAACCATTAAACATAATTCTGTTACGTAAGTAGCTGACCCACACTGAAAAAAAAGTAGTTAGCGTTGAGAACTAATTTGGTAAGTTCTCACCAAGTAGAATCAAAATTAGGCTTCAGAACTAATTTATTGTACTGAAGCACCAATCAATTCGCTTCATACGCTGACTTCACTTTACTAGAGCGCGAACCAGAATTGGAAAACAGCACTAGCTGTAAAATTAGCGCTGTGGTAAGACAAATTCACCTTCGGGTCAAACTAATTCGCCCTCAACGCTAACTGCCACATTGTCCGTTACATTTATTTAGTTTCGAAAAAGTGGCGTCGGTACAACAGCCTCAATCGCGTCAGCTCGTGAAAATCAATTAAAATGTGAAATTTCGGGCTCGTTTGACAATGTAAATACTCCCGGTATGATTTATAGTGTCCTCTCTTTCTTGAAAACGCTCGTAAGCAACATAAATAAACCTGTTAAGGTTAGAAATCGTCTGTTCGATTCAAAAGTAGACAAGCATGATATTCGTTGGAGTCGTCAATCTTCTGTATTAAATTGCGATTAAAGCATTCCGCGTTCAGTTTATATTTTACGAAAATCTGTGAACTTACTGCTTACTTCTATAGTTCGCGTTCTCCCGTAATTTCAAAAGAATATCTCAAGTGTTCGGACGAGATATGTTTATTCAGTGTGAACATTCGCTACCGTTTCATGTGTGAGTGTGTGTCTCTCTAAAGGATAATTCTGTCTACTTGCACGTACCTATGGGATATTCCTTTCCTCTGTCGTTCATTTGGAACCGGTCAGTTTATTTTTACCTCTCATCTTTTAAGAAATCTTATTTTCCTGAAAGTATTGTCCAGTTATCATTCGCTAAGCCGTTTTCTCCTCTCTCAGTTTTGAGGTTAGGTTGACCCAACCCTACCGAATGCGAATTAGAGTAGCGGAATTAGTTTCCAGCACTAATAGTGGTTAGTGTACAGAAACCAAAAATCATGTGTGTCCAAATCACACAATTTGAGTTAGTGTATAGAAACCATTTTTAGTCATCTGACGCTAACTCATTTTTTTCAGTGCAACTATTTACTCGAAGACATCTCAACTCGACATGCTGTTTTTACTATGAAAATGCTGCGTGTACTACGTCCACGGTTAAATGAACAAATTCAATGTTGAGTCAGCATTTTTCTAAATGTAAAATCATTCATTTGATACGGTTGCATATTTTTTTTCACAGTATATTGTTAATTCAACATTCAATTTTTTCGTGCCTTTTCGTCGAGAGCCATTCTAGAATCCAGCCAAAACTCAACCAATCGGCAGGCGTACCCAGCAAGCAGGAAGATAGACACGGAATTATGCGGAGTCACGTTGGTTGCGCCGCCGCGCCTTCAAAACGGTCGGACGCAACCCGCGGGCCGCGTGCGCCACTTGTGAATGAAAACGATCCATAAACGCAAACGCGGATGTTTGTAAACAGGGGCCTCGTATTTGTGGGTGCGTACGAATGGAACATCGGCGCCCCCACCCCCCACCCCCACCCCCGCCACCGTGGCGCCGCGGCGACCCCTCCGCGGGCGGGAACGACCGATAACCGCCCCGATAAACTGCCACCGAGTGAAAGTGAAGACTAGCACCCCCTGTTCACAGACGGCTTTTCGTCTCGGTTTATTTCAATACTATCCTGCTAGGGAAGGAGGGGTCCAACTCGAGGAAGTGGTACAGTGCGTAGGGAGGGGGGGGGATATGACCATCGTTATTCTTCAATATGGGATTCAGATCGTGAGAGCAATGAGGGGTTTTTGACCATAACGCCGTATGAACGTTGTCAAATTTCCTTCGCGTATTTTGCATATAAACTAGGAGGAAATAGGGAGGGAGGGATTTTAAAACATGGGTAAACTAGGCCGGATTTCTCTTTAAAAAATCAATTAGTTGTTTATTTTTCGTGGTTTTTCAGCTGAAAATGAGCTGGTAACAGCTAGAAACGTCCTGCATTCTAGTGTTTTTTAATGTTTTAGCCTTGTTAACCCATGTTTTAAAATCTCTCTTTGTTTGTTCGCTCATTTGGGCTAGGTTTTTTTGCGGTTTATCCTAGGAAGCAACCCAACATAATGAGGACGAATCATCTGTTTTAGCAATATTTATTTGGGATTATAAAGTATATATAAGATCGAATTTTACAGAGGGGAACCAGCTTGCTTGCAATGTTGTAAAAATTTTCATCTTTATCTTAATCGAGTAAAAAAAAGAAAATACATTCTGGAATAGCAAAAGCTGTTGTTCTCCTAGCAAAAATTTGTGACTTATAAAGGAAAAAATCGTTTATATTTCATCACTGTGCGTATATTTTGCGTTTTGTAAAGCATAGGGGAAGTCTCACTATATTTGAACACTGTATTTCGAACACCGGAACACTTATTCTCTTCTGTTAAATGCGATGAAAATAGCAAACATCATATTCGTCTTGTTAAAGTTTGGCATACTTGCGTTGAGGAAATTTTTTTAAGAAACGCGAGAAATAAAACCTTGAATAGATAGCTATTGCTGCACGAGTATGTTCCGACCTACTACAAAAATCGAGAGTCAAATAGCAATGCACTAAACCGGCATATCCCGGTTTTGTCGATTTTATATTTTGAGAGAATGCATTTGTAGATTTCTCTCGCCTAACCAAATTTTTTTGAAGTAAATTTTGTAATATTTTTCTTGAAAAGTATATTTCAAAGAAATCAATTTACGAGCTTTTTTAAAATTTCTCGTTTTATCATGGCAATTTTGCAACCTCGAAATGACATTAAAGGCGCTCTTCTATACGTAGCACGGCGAAATAGAAGGGATGCAATCCATGGCAAATTGAAACTGAGGAAAAGAAGTTGGAGGGTTTGTCTGTAGGAATCACGACGAATAAGCCTAATTTAGTAGAAAGGAATTAACCAATGGCGAGGCTTGAATGATCAGTTGTCGCTATTTCCCCATTTAAAGCTATAGTAAATAATCGATTACTTATGTGTTTGTTGCGAGCATCCTTCCATCGATCCTTTTCCATAGGTTTAAAAGGGCAGAAAAATCGATATATCGAAAAAAACACCACGGCACTGTAAGGAATCAACTTTTTTTCCCCCGGGGTTCAAATATCTTTCATCGATACCCTG